TTTTTGGTTTTTCGAGACAGGGTTTCTCTGTGGTTTTGGAGCCTGTCCTGGAACTAGCTCTGTAGACCAGGCTGGTCTCGAACTCACAGAGATCCGCCTGCCTCTGCCTCCCAAGTGCTGGGATTAAAGGTGTGCGCCACCACCGCCCGGCTATCCTGATTCTTTTATATCAAATACAATTAAGATTGGCGTGTTGGTGGATATTTATTATTTGAATCAAACTTCTTACTTTTCATTGCTTTATAAGAAAGTTTGGCAACTCATTTTTCGTTTTTTAGATGCATACTTCTACTGGAGGAGGGTTCTGTGACTGTGGAGACACAGAAGCCTGGAAAACCGGCCCCTTCTGTATGGATCATGAACCTGGAAGAGCAGGCACTACAAAAGAGGTAAGAAGCTTAATTGCCATTTGAAATTTTCTGAAATTTGATGAGAATAAATGTTATAAATATATGAGTTAAGATGAATTCCATTTAGAATCCAATATTTTTGTTCTAAAAGTTAATTATAAGAACATTTTGTTTTCTACTCTCCAGAGTAGAAATTTTCTCCAGAGAGAATGAATGCACACATGCCCAAAATGAATTCAAAATACTTTTTTTGTGTATAGTATGTGATTTTATTTCTCAAATACGGAATGAGTTTTAAATATACATCATTTTGTGTATCATCGAGCAGCACATCAAAACCAAATTTAACTTGATTTTTAGCCTCCCCCAAGATAGATTTATTTATTTACTTACTTACTTACTTATTTATTTATTTATTATGTATACAGTGTTCCTCTGCATGTATGCCTGCAGGCCAGAAGAGGGCACCAGATCTCATTACAGATGGGTGTGAGCTACCATGTGGGTGCTGGGAATTTTTAACCACTGAGCCATCTTTCCAGCCCTCAAAATACTTTTTGTTAGTCAATGTGAACAATAAGGATAATGTACAGCCCCAAAAGAACAAAATGAGGGTGCTGGAGAGATAGCTCAGTGGTTAAGAGCACTGGCTGCTTTTCCAGAGGTCATGAGTTCAATTCCCAGCAATCACATGGTTGCTCACAATCATCTGTAATGAGATCTGGTGCCCTCTTCTGGCGTATGGACATACATGGAGGCAGAATGTTGTATACACAATAAAATAAATCTTTAAAAAAAAAAACAAAATGAAATTGTTAATAGATAAGAACAGAATATAATGAATATGAAAACAAAGTGAGCACATGAATTCAGTAATTGCTTTTCATAAAGTGAAAGATAGATAAAATGACTCAGTGGATACATTTTTTGTTTTTTTTTTTTTGTTTTGTTTTGTTTTGTTTTGTTTTTCGAGACAGGGTTTCTCTGTGTAGTTCCACAGCCCCTCCTGGAACTCACTTTGTAGACCAGGCTGTCAGGAACTCATAGAGATCCACCTGCCTCTGCCTCCCAAGTGCTGGGATTAAAGGCATGTACCACCACTGCCCAGCCAGTGGATGGATACAGTTTAGTTAGGAAAAATTGAGCAAGTCTGGATATAGACACTTAGATAGGAGGTGGGAGAGAGCTAAAGGACCACAGATACAGGTGAAGTATGGGACCCACAAAAGACTGCTGAAGGATTCTCAGGTAATATGCCTAAAAGTGAATTGTTGGTTTTGTTCTTTTGAGGCAGGGTCTCATTACATAATCCTGGTTGTCTTGGAACTTGCTATGTAGACTAGGCTGGCCTCAAACTCACAGAGATCTCCTGCCTCTGCTTCCCAAGTACTGGAAACACTGCACTCAGCTATAAAAATGAATTGTTTTATCACACAGTGCAAGGTACCATTCAAAAGCCAAGGGACTACTTGGTAGGTAACCATTGAAATACTTGGCAGAATTGCCACCATGTAGCATTTCCCTCCAAACACCATGCTCACAGGGTTTCATAGATAAATCCTTGAAAATTTCAAGGATTATATACTTTTTATGCCCTTTCAACTATTCTGGATCTCCATATAAGCAGTGAACACATATGAGGGCCAGATGATGCTCTTTGCTGACTTTTGTTTGAATATCTCCCTAGGTATTAGAGTTGGGTATTGAAGTCTTCCGCTTATTGTGGATGGACCTGTGTGGCCTGTTCAGCCTTTTAACATTTGTTTTATGAAATTGGTGGCCCCCCAGACTTAGTGCATAGATACCTACAATAGCTATGTCCTCTTGATTGTTCCTTTTATTACTATGTGGTAATTCCTTTCATCTCTTCTAATTCCCTTTGGTTTGAGTCTTGAGGAATTGCTATGCCAGCTTGTTTTCAGCTTCCCTCTGTTTGGGAGGTTGGTTTCTGACCTTTGACTCCCAGTTTTTGGATGTCTTTGCCAATTATGTGAATTTCTTGGTGATAGCAGATAGTTGGATCTTGTTTTTTAATTCAATTTTAGTCTTTAAATTGAAAAGTCAAGGGAATTTGTATTCAAGGTTATTATTGAGGTTATTGTTCAAGATTTACTATTACTGATGGCTTTGTTGGCTTCTAGTCATTGGGAGTTCATTTCTGCTCTCCTGATAGTTGTCAGAGGTTTGTTGACTTGCCATGTTGGATATGGCTGGTCCTTCACATTTCTCTGTCTTCTTGTGCCATGTATGCTTTCTTGTGTTCTTGCGGATAAAGCTGACTTTCTTCTCTGGTGAGTGCTTTCTGAAGTGCTGACCTAGTTGTCATGAATTGCCTTCACATGTACTCATCTTGAATACTCATGTCTGTGCACCTTTACTTGATAACTTTCCAGGGGGTAGCAGTTTGGTTTGACAGTTTCAGGGCTCGCACTATAATACATCACACATTTTCTGGCTTTGAGTGTTGCTGAGGAAAGGTTAATGTCGTTCTGATCTTTCTGCCTCTGAATGTGAGTTGGTGTTTTCTTTTACAGATGTTAGTATTCTCTGTTTCATTTAAATTTAGATACATGCCATGCAGAGGTTCTCCTCTGGACATATTTAATTAATTCTTGATTATAATTTTTAAAAATAGATTGTCTAAGCTTCTTTATGTAATTTGCCATAACTCCTGCTAGGCTATGAATATATAGGTTAGGTCTCTTAAATGTATCTGAGATTGCTTACAAGTTTTGGTTATCTGCATAATTTATTTTTCCTTTATGTATACCTGTGGGCTTTATCTCTGAAGTTTGTCCTTAATCCTTGGTCTTGATCTGCTATGGTTTTTCTTTGTTTGTTTCTTTTGTTTTCGTTGTCTCAAAATTACTGATACTTTCATCTGTTTGTATCTTTCTTGTGTGGATCCTAATTGATTTCTTAACCATTTATGGAAGTCCTCTATATGGTCGCTGACCCTTTTTAAAGAAATAATCTTTGAACTCTTTTAAGCATTTTAGCTATCTCATTACCTTTGTTCTGGTATTTAAAAGTTGTGAGTTCTGTAAGAATGGCCAAGATCAAAAACACTGATAACAGCTTATGCTGGAGAGGATGTGGGGTAAAGGGAACCTGTATTGCTGGTGGAAGTGTAAGCTGGTACAGCCCCTTTGGATGTCAGTGTGGTGATTTCTCAGAAAATTAAGAAACAACCTACCTCAAGATCCAGCAATACCACTTTTGGGTATATATCCAAAGGATGCTCAATCGTACCACAAGGACAAGTGCTCGACTATGTTTATAGCAGCATTGTTTGTAATAGCCAGAACCTGGAAACAACCTAAATTAAATGACCCTCGAAGGAAGAATGGATAAGGAAAATGTGGTACATTTACACAATAGAGTACTGCACAGCAGAAAAAAAAATAACATCTTAAAATTTGCGGGCAAATGGATGGAGCTAGAAAACATGATTTTGAGTGATGTAACCTAGACCCAGAAAGACAATTATCAAATGTAGTCACTCATAAGTGGCTTTTAGACATAAAGCAAATTAAAATCAGCCTACAGTCTACAATCCCAGAGAATCTAGACAGCAATGAGGACCCTAAGAGACATACATGGTTCTAAACTACATGGGACGTAGGAAAAGACAAGATCTCTTGAGTAAATTGGAAGCATGGGGACCACGGGAGAGGATAAAAGGGGAGGGGAGAGGTAGCAGCGGAGTGGAGAAAAATATAAGCTCAATAAGAAAAAAAAGTGGTGAGTTTGTGGAAGTGTAGTGTAATGCTGTATTTATTGTATCTTTTGTTGTGCTTTGTGCATGTATTGGGAGTTAAGTGGCCTCTGGTTTTGGTTCTCCTTTTTCTCTCTGTTTTGTTGATTTGATTTGTTTTGTTTTATGGGAGCCCTCCTGGTGCTTTGTCTTTATGTTCGTTTGGGGAAAGCTGACTGAAGGATGGCTTGACAACAGTCCCAGTATGAGCTGCAGGAGATGTTCCTGTGCTTCACCTTAGACCCCAGCATGGCTTTGAGACAGCAGCACTAAGGTGCTGATTGGAGAAACACACTATGTAGTTGGTTTTTGGTTTGGGGGCTAAGGGTATCAGTAAGTCAGGAAGTGAAGAGGGAATAGGGGGAAGGGGATAGGAGAGGAAGTAAGAATAAGCAAGGTATTTGGGCTAGAGGGATGAGACACAATAAAAATTGTCTTTTAGGTGTAGAGAAAATAATCTGTTACTGACTGTGTTTGTACATATCTGTGAATGTACTGAAAGCCTTTCCTTGTCTGCTGTTTTGTTTGTATTTGTTTCCTTGTTTGATACAAGCTCCAACAGTAAGTATAGCCTAAGCTGGCCTGAAACTTGCTGAGTAGCCTAGGCCAGCCAGCCCCTAACTCTACTGATCATCCTGCCTCAGTCTACCAAGTGTTGGGATTGCGGGCGTGTACCATTTAATGGTTGTCTGTTTACCACCTGAAACCCAGGAGCAAAGGTTTCAATTCATTGAGAATGTTGCAACTGAGGGAACATGCCTGACTGCAGGGAAATTATTTACTAGAGTCTGAGCTACTTTTTAGCAGGTATACCCTATAAAATGATATCCCCACCCACAGCAACCATTAACCGCCAGCTGTCAGTCAGGATAGGATGGGGCCTCAGGTGCCCTCTCTATGAGAAAATACTAAGCCCAATCTTGTGTAAGTTTTGTGTATGTAACCACAGCTGCTAAGAGTGCATGAGGCAGGCAGATGGCTGTGTCATGTCCTGGGACATCTTTTTACCATCCCCTATTCCTACTACACATAGCACCTATTCTCTTGCTCTTACACTTCTGCTCCCCCTGTTTTCAGCCGTGTGTTCCCTGAGCCTTGGAGGGTGCCAACCAATGCCTCAATTAGGCCTTAGCACTCCATCACCTATCATTTCCTGTTGGCACTTTGAGCCTGTGCATTAACTGTCCCTACAGCTATGGGACTCTTCTACAGCTATGGGACTCTTCTTGAGGACAGAGAACACTAGCATATGTGTATAAACATGAGGATTAGCAGTTTGCTTTTTTTTTGTGAGATAGGGTCTTACTCCATAGATAGTGTTGTCACTGAGCTCATGGCCACCCTCCTGCTCAGTCTCCCACATGCTGAGATTAAGCACAAACCACCATGTACAGCTCAAATTGCACACTTAAATGAGTAAATTGTAGTGATACTGCTTATGTCACAATAAAGTTGTTATTAGCAGCTCACTTATGAAAGTCCGAGTTAAAATACTTAATATGGACATCACCAAACCTTCACAGTACCTTCTAGTTTATAACAACAAACAACGGTACCAGGAAAAATATAGAATATAGGTGTTTGGTTTTGTTTGTTTTGTCTTTTAGCAGAAAAACTGGTCGTCTTCATGAAGAAAAAAAGATGGGGGAGGAGCACTTGGGATGGGAGATTAAGTTAGATGTGAATGTCCAGCACTTGAGAGTCACAACAACCAAATGCAGTCTGTGGATCTTGGTCTCAAGAAATGTTTATAGACGCTAAGAGGAATGGAGCTGGGGAGATGGCTCAGTGCGTGAGATCATGTACTGCTCTTGCAGAAGTTCAGTTCCCAGCACTCACATCAGGCAGTTCCAAGAGGATCTGACATGACTGTCCTCTGCAGACGGATGCATGGAAACACACCCACGCACACGCGCACACACAAACCAACTAACTAACTAAATAGGGGACTGGTTCCAGAGGATCTGGCACCCTCTTCTGTTCTCCAAGGGCACATGTGTGCTACAAACATGAAGGCAAAACATTCTTACACATAAAAATAAATGATAATTTTTTTCTGGCTTTTCGAGACAGAGTTTCTCTTTCTAGCCCACGTGAATCTCTGAGTTCTAGGATAGCCAGGGGTACACAGAAAAGCCCTGTTTCGAAAAGCAAAAAATAAAATAAAGAAAAAACTAAAAAACAATGTGCTGGAGTATGAAAGTCATGATGACTGTATTTTACCTTAAAATATTTGAACAAGAATAAATAAAACGTGGAAAAATGTTGCACTATTAAGTTTAAATTAAGGGGTATTTATAGGGTCTGTTTTTCTGCTTAAAATTTTTACTGATAATTTTTTTAATTCACTAAGTTGATTAACACTGAAGAAGTAAAAGTTTATAAATTGCTCCAGAGCATGGGAGAAAAGAAGGGAGGCTTTGTACATTTGTTCTAGGAAGCCAGAAAACACTGATGTCGGATCTAACAAAATGTAGGTGTTCTAGATCAGTCTTATTAACAGTTTCACGCTGAGATCCTAATATAGCATTAACAGGTGAATTCATACATATTAGGATACAACACAACAGGTTTTTTTTAATACTTTGTTTTTAATTGAGCTATATGTTTTCCCCCACTCCTCTTTTTCCCTCCCCTTCCTCCTTCCCCCTTGCCCCTCATGCTCCCAATTTACTCTGGAGATCTTGTCTTTTTCTCCTTCCTAGGTGGATCCATGGTTTTGGGTTTTTTGTTTGTTTGTTTGTTTTTTATTATTCATCTTTATTTTACATCCCTGATGCAGCCTCACCCCGTCCTCCCCTTCCAATCTCCCAACTATTCCCCTCCCCCATCCCTTCCTCTTCCATCTTCATCCAAGAAAGGGCAAGTCTTCTTTGAGTATCAATAAAACATAACACATTAATTTGCAGTAAGACTAAGTATCTCCCCTTGTAGTCTGGGTAAGGTAAGCCAGTATTAGGAGTAGGGGCCCAAAAGCCAGCAAAAGAGTAGGAGACAGCCTCTGTTCCTGGAGTTAGGATTCCCAAAGAGGACCAAGCTACACAACTGTAACAAATATGCAGAGGACCTAGGTCAGTCCTATGCAGGCTTCCTGGTTGTTGGTTCAGTCTCTGCAAACCCCTATGAGCTCAGGTTAGTTGATTATGAGCCTTCCCAAGGTGTTCTTCTCCCCACCCCCTACACGCACACACACAGGGTTTCTCTGTAGTTCATAGTGTTCTTGACCCCTCTGGTTCCTACACACCTTTGTTCTCCTCAGGGTTCTCAAACTTCACCTATTGTTTGGCTGTGGGTCTCTGCATCTGCCTCCATCAGTTGCTGAATGATGCCTCTTGATGACAGTTGGGCCAGGCACCAATCCGGTCACAGGAGACAGCCAGTTCAGGCTACTTTACTATTGCTAACCCTGAAATTTCCACCCAAGCAGTGCCCCTCAGCACTCTCCCCTCCGTTCCCCCACTACATGATTGCTTATGTTCTCATCCCACCTGCCCGTAATCCACTCACAAAATCTCTTCTATTTCCCTTTCCCAGGAAGATCTGAGTGTCCCCCCATGAACCTTCCTTGTTACTTAGTCTCTGGGTCTGCAACACAACCATTTTCACATTGCTGAAGAAACCCCTTCTTGGAACTCTCCTGTGAAGGTGTTTGTATCTTAGCACAAATGGAGAAAGTTTTCTTGGAAAGTATTTTCAATTTCTTTCAGGGATATTGACCTTAAATCAAAAGCCATACAAATTACATTTCATGTTGGAACACCAGTGTTTCAGAAGTAAGAGACAAGAGATCCATTGTTGCTGCTATTGAACCTGTTCTGGAAGAACTCCCAATCAGATCAAAACTAGGCTGAGCTCAGAAATGTAAATATTGCAAAGGATAAGGGGGAATAGTTATGATTGCAAGAGGGAAAAAAAAACCCTCAAGAAAATTAACCAAAAAGTAATGAGAACCTACAGTAGACTTTACAAAGATCTCTAGGTTTTGTTTGTTAGTGTGCTGCTGTTCTTTGAGATAAAGAGTTTGTCTAGTCCAGGCTGGCCTGAAACTTAAATCCTTCCAAGCATGGCCTTCCAGTTACTGGGATTGTAGCTGGTTACTACCATGTACACTGAAATGAACAAGCTACAGCAAAATGCCTGCTTTTCTATTTAATATATTTGACAAATATTTATGAATGGCCATATAAACAATACCTTTTAGGAAATGTAACAGAAGATATTCAATTCATTATGATAGAAAAAAATATAATTTGTAAGTAAGAGGGGAGGGGAAAATAATTGTGCTAGATTTATTCATTTACTTGTTCATTTGTTATTTGTTTATGAGCCACTCTTGTATAGACCTGCCTGGCCTGGAACCCACTGTATAGACTAGGCTGGCCTTGAACTCAGAGAGATCAGCTTGACTCTGCCTCCTAAGTACTAGGATTAAAGATGTGTCTCACCATGTCCAGAAAGGTAGCTTTATTTTTAAAAAACTGAATCTGGTCCCAAATAATCTGACCTTGAAAATTTTGGCTTTAAAATTAGGTTGAAAAATAAATAAATATTCTGAAACTGTTTATCTGGGGTGAGGGAAGGATGCTTTGAGTAGCACATCAACTCCTGAAACATCGTGTATTCAGTATTGAATTCTCTCTGCTTTGATGAATGTAATATTCATATTCTGCCAGCTACATGGAATTTTGCCAAACTTAATGGAGAATCACCAAGCTTACCCATGCTGGACTAATAATACTGGTAGCTAGTTGTGTAGCCTTTAAAGAGAGGCTCTTTGCTATGCATGTAAAAGAAATTTCTTTCATATTTCTGGTTCATTGTTAATTTTCTTGTTTTAGTAGTTGGTTGTTTTTATTAGCTTCTGGTTCTTTTGTTCCAGTTGAGTTTATTTCTAAGTTGCAAATGCTTTTCTTGAAACATTCCTTCATAAGCATCAGATATTGTCCATGAACTCAGCTTCTGATGCATGCTGGAAGCAAGAGTTTCTTTCAACTCTTCACCTAAGAACACTTGTATGAATGGTTGGAAGAAAATGTTGAGGGGAGAAAAGGTGAGTGGGAATGTTGTCTTCTAATATTGATATCAGTACTGTTGACATTACCTCTTTAACAAAGACATCTGGACAGAAAAGGTGACATGTTGAAGAGGGGTTAAAACTAAAATTATAGTGCATTGGTGAGAAGACAAAGTAGGTGTTAAAAAAAGAGAGTAGGTCAGTGGTTTGGCCAATTATCCATCTTAACCATACTAAGAATACGCTTTAGCTGTATATAATTATACTCACACTGTTATGTAATAGAATTCAAGCTTTTTTTGTCCCCTTACAGTACTAAATCTCTGTACCCAGTAAACACTGAGTCCCTCTTCCCAGTCCTCAGCAATCACTTTGTACTCTCTGTTCTGCAGTTGTGCTACTGTACATACTGGGCAAATCACAAATAATTGTTCTTTTGTGGTTGGCTAAGTTGTCATTTTTCTTGTCTTGTTTTATGGTGCTGAGGATCAAACGGCTCACAATAGGCAAAAGATTACCACTGAACTTCACCTCGGCCCCATTTCTTATCCTTTGTCATCACTGCTTGCTGTGACTACTTCCAAAGCTACTATGAGAGTTGTTTTTAATGTGTCTAGAGAGACAGCTGTGGATACTGGCAACCAAACTCTTTTATTTTTGGTTATGAGCTTAGCCTTTAACCGCTGAGCCATTTCCCCAGCCCATAAGAATAGTTTTGTTTGTTTGTTTGTTTTGGTTTTGGTTTTTTGAGACAGGGTTTCTCTGTGTAGCTCTGTCTGCCCTGGAACTAGCTCTTGTAGACCAGGCTGGCCTCAAACTTACAGCGAACTACCTATCTCTGCCTCCCGAGTGCTGAGATTAAAGGCGTGCGCTACCACTGCCTGGCTCAAGAACAGTTCTTATAAATGATAAAGAATAGACAGTTGTTGCATAGTATTATTGTAATGAAGCTATTCATAAAGAAGAGAATCCACAGGGAAAGTATGGATAAAAGGTACTCCACAGTCTGTGTTTCCTTCTGTCATCTGTAACTCAACCAAGAGCCTATGAACTCAACTTGAATTGATTCCTAGCGGTTATTGTAATGGACTCACTGAATGATTATTTTAAATACTTAACATTATCTTCCTTATCCATTTATTTGGACACAATCTCAGTATATTTTATTTTGTTTCCGCACAGACCTTGAATTGCCCATTGAATGAAGAAGTGATTGCTCAAGCCAGGAAAATATTCCCTTCGGTGATAAAATACTTTGTAGAAATGACTATATGGGAAGAAGAAAAGGAACTGCCTCCTGAACTACAGATAAGGTGGGAGCTGTCAGAAGCCACAGGCTTTAGTGGTGGCTATCTGTGCCTGTGGCCCTTCCTTCCTGTACTAGGGCTTGTACATACAAGGCAAGTGCACTGTTGAGTCACCTCCTAAGAAGACCCCCTTCCTCCCGCCCGCCCTCTCTTCCCTTTCTTCTTCCCCTCTTCCCTCCCTCCCTCCCATTCTCCTTTATGTTAGAATTTATTATTATTTTGGAATAGATATAAGCACAACTATTTTTTAGAATATTTTTTTCTTTTTTTCACTATATTTTATTTTTTAAAAAAGAAAACAATCTTTTTTCATTTTACATACCAATCTCAGTTCCCATTTCCTTCCATCCTCTCATTCCCTCTACCTTCCTACCCCCCCACCCCCCCACCCACTCCCCATCTTACCTCCCCATGAGCTGGTAAGGCACATGGCTTTGAGGAAGGACCAAGGCCCTCCCTGCTGTTTCTAGGCTGAGCAAGTTATCCATCCAAAGAGAATGGGTTCTAAAAAGCCAGTACAAGCAATAGGGATAAATCCTGGTGCCACTACCAGTGGCCCCACAATCTGCCCCAGCCTACAGCTTTCACCCACATTCAGAGGGACTAGTTTGGTCCTATGCTGGTTCCTTCCCTGTCTGGCCGAAGTTGGTGAGCTCCTATTAGCTCAGGTAGACTGTTTCAGTGGGTGTAGCCATCATGGTCTGGACCTCTTTGCTCATATTCTAACTCCTCCCACCCTTCAACTAGACTTTGAGAGCTCAGCTTAGTGCTCTGCTGCGGGTCTCGGCCTCTGTTTTCCTTTAGTTGCTGAATGAAGTTTCTATGGTGACATTTAAGACATATTCATCAGTCTGACTACAGGGCAAGGCTAGTTCAGGTACCCTTTCCACTATTGCTTAGGGTCTTAGCTGGGGTCATCCTTGTATGGATTTCTGGGAAATTTTCTAGTGCCATGTTTCTTGCTAGCCCCACAATGGCTCCCTCAATCAAAATATCTCTTTCCTACCTCTCCATCTCTGTCCTTCCTCCATCTCTACTATCCAGTTTCCTCAAGTTCTCCCCTCCTCCTCCCCTTCCACTCTCCCTTCTCCCCCTACTCGTATGGTCCCAATTTTGTCAGGAGATCTTATCTATTTCCCCTTCCTAGGGGGATCTATGTATGTTTCTCTAAGGGTTCACCTTGTTACTTAGCTTCTCTTGGGTTGTGGACTATAGGCTTGTTATCCTTTGCTTTACAGCTAGTATCCACTTATGAGTGAGTACATACTATGTCTCTCTTTCTGGGTTATCTCACTCAGGATTTCTTTTTTTTAGTTCCATTCATTTACATGCAAATTTCAAGATGTCTTTTTTTTACTGCTGTATAGTATTCCATTATATACATGTACCACATTTTCTTTATCTGTTCTTTGGCTGAGGGGCATCTAGGTTGTTTCCAGGTTCTGGCTATGACAAATAATGCTGCTATGAACATAGCTGAACAAATGTCCTCGTAGTATGAGTGTGCATCCTTTGGCTATATGCCCAAGAGTGATATTTTTGGCTCCTGAGATAGGTTGATTCCCAGTTTTTAGAGAAAGTGTCATACTGATTTCCAGAGTGGTTGTACAAGTTTGCATTCCCATCAGCAATGGAGGAATGTTCCCCTTACTCTGCAACATAAGCTATTATTAGTGTTTTTGATCTTAACCATTCTGACTGGTGTAAGGTGGTATCTCAGAGTCATTTTGATGCCAAGATAAGAGTGGGTGTGGGCTCCTCAGCATGGAGTCATCTAAATTTATTATTACCTTGAAAAATGTACAGAGGGGCTGGAGAGATGGCTCAGCGGTTAAGAGCATTGCCTGCTTTTCCAAAGGTCCTGAGTTCAATTCTCAGCAACCACATGGTGGCTCACAACCATCTGTAATGGGGTCTGGTGCCCTCTTCTGGCCTGCAGGTATACACACAGACAGAATATTGTATACATAATAAATAAATAAATAAATATTAAAAAAAGAAATATGTACAGAGATTGTCTCTCTTGGGAATATTTTCAAAGTATTTTTACTTGAAATACTTAGATACTATGCAGGAGTTAAGCCAAAGAAAAGTAAAGAAATTTTAAATCTATCAGAAGAAAAAAGCCAACATTTTCAGGGGCTTGTTGTATTTATAAGGTTTGTCCTATTTATAGCTGCTAATGCTG